TAAATTAGAAAGCTATTCATATTTTGCAAATATAAGCAGGCAACAAAACTACACAGTCATTTATTCTCCCAATGGGCAGAAATTATTTATAATTCATATAAAAATTCAATATACTGTATATGCTTAGAGGAACTTTATTAACTCTGACATTCCACATACAATCAAAGAAAGATTGAGCCCCTGTGTTGCCTGATGCACCTCATCTCAAACTTAAAGGTTGGTACGTTTTATGCATTCAGAAAGGCATAAAAGAACAATGGGCTAGCGTTCAATAAAATGTACACCCCATTTTAACTTTTCGTCGTGAGAGGATGCAGCAGGTAAAATAAAATTGGCCTCTACAAATAACGAGTGCAGCCAAAGATGTGTCAGGTAGAAAAGGAAATGTAACCTGTGCTATTGAAAAAGCAATTTCAAAGCTTTTAAGCCTGATCTCTTGCTCTTAAACCATCAGAACAAATACAAAAATACACTTGATGAGAAATATACAGTTCTGTATAAGTGCTTCCTCTGCCTACAGCACAATGTTTGAATGTCAGCCCCCCCCTGCCCCCCTCCAATGAATAACTTTACTTTGGTATATTATTCTAAGCAATTCAAGATTATCTCCTTACCATAAAAGTAGGTCTGAATTGTTCACACGTTTCTTTGTTATACTCTATAAAAGAATGAGTAATCCTCAGTTTATCAGATGTGGCTGCACTGGATGACCTAGTTTGTCCACCCATGCAGCCAAACTGTAAGTAGGCTGTGATATTTCAGAAATAGCTCGCTGGCCGAGAAAACCACCAGTTTAGAACTCATTTTTATCAGCAGCTTTTATTATATTGCATTTCATGAACTATTTTTTGACTGATACAAAAACGGTATACTGGATACCATGCCTTTGAAAATATATTGTATGTTTGGTGTTTTTTTTAGCTTTTTTTTCTTTACTTGGGAGACATTCAGGATTATCAATTTGACAACTACCTGACCAACCAAATCCCTGCTAACAAAGCATAAGACTGCAAGAGTTTCGCTAGTTCATCAGTACACTCAAAATCCAAAAGATAAGTATTAAGTATTTACTTATGGGTATGGTAAGCAGCATATGCAACCTGATGCAACAAATGTAAATGTATGACCAACAGTGACAACTAAGAAAAAGAATTGCCTGCACCTGTACATATAGTTAATCATATTGGTTTGTAAGTAAAAAAAAAACACTCATGGGTTTTTTTCTTGAGAAGAAACAGACTATTGAGCTTGCAACTGCACTCTACTCGATGACTCAGCCTTTGCTGTTAAGTTGGAAAATAACTCTTAACTTGAGCACCGGGGCTTTTAGCAAAAATAATAAATAATAGATGAAAAAGATGACAAGGGTTGTAGTATGACAAGTTAAAAGATAACAGTTACACTTATAGTTTGTCAAAAAAGTTAAAAATAGGAATTGCATGATGCTGAATTGTTGAGAAGTTGAAATAATTTCTTACATTCATGAGTTATTTGTTCTAGAAAAAGTTTTTTTCAAAATAGCATTGTGTACCTGGTTCAGTATTGGTCTAAACAAGTTGAGTAAGTAATTTAAACCATTTTTTTTCTAATTGAAACGAAGCAAAGTTGATCTGTGTTCTGCTTATCAGTCTTAATCTACAACGCTGAGGTTGATTGCTTCTGTTTACACTTTACTCTCTGAGGTCGAAGGGTTTTCTCTAATTTTTTTAACTTCTTGTCTCCTTCTGTAAAAAGGCATGTATAATCTCACCAGAGCTATGCACAACCATATAACATACATCTTTTTTTTTCACAGTACAACTATGCCCCAAGGATGCCAGATAAAGTCCCAAATTGATACAAGATCATAAATACGAAAAAAATAAAATAAAAGCAAAACTGAAATTTCATGAATATATGTTAAAAGAAAATGTTAAACAACAAGAACTATGACATTAGGCCTCCTAAATGGGTTCTCTTGGTGATCAGGGGGAAGTGAAATAAACTCTGTGGATGTCACAGATCAAAAAAACCTGGCCATTTATTTGAGAAAATCCCCAGACACGTAATAAGTGTCTGTAGGAACGATTGTTGTGTAAAAAGTATTTATTCTATTCAAAGAACAATCTACACATGATTTAGAGCTGTCAAGTTAAAAGAGCACAGATATTTTGATACTAGATTAAGCTGAAGAGGATGAATCTATTCAAAACAGTTCTATCTTTTGTATTTCTGTGCTACGAACACGCTGCGATATCTGTTCAGGCTTCACTTAATTCTCATTGGCCCTTGCATGTCAGCTGATCGCAGATACAACCTCTGATTGGTCGACGGACAAAAACAAGATGGCAACGTCCTTGTTACCCAAGTGAGCTAACAGAAATGACAATATTTTTTTTTACAAAAATGTATACATAAATCACGGATTACATTCATTTTTGTGGAGGATTGGATCCGGAAAGTCACTGAATATACTCATCTTCTCAGTGGGGTAGAAAAGCCTCTGGACGTCACAGAGTTTATCACCGGAAAGCCTCCGAGGCTCCGAGCATGTGGAGTTCACACTAAGTAGCTCTGTGGTACCTTAACATTTTAGAGCTTATAATGTAAAGACTGCATGCCTCAGATGGTTTAAAGTAGCTTACATGTTGATTTCTCGGTATTTTCCTGAAATAGTTGTCGCTAAGCAGCAACCCAACGGTGAAGGGATAATTTGTCACCTTCTTTTAGGTATGTGCTTTAAAACACGAAAGCACTTGCTAACGTCAAGAATGTGGGAAAGGGTTCAGGTGACTTTAGTTGTGGTAAGTTTAGCAAAGCGATGTAGATAGAAGTGTTTGTGTGAAGCAGACTCTCTGCTGGGTCTCAAAAGGAAAACCTTGTTGCTGTGTCAGGTAAAGCTCTGTTTGGGTTTGATAATTCACGTTTGCACATACTGTAATATGTTTTGCACTGTTGAACTTCAGGAGTTCACATTAAGTTACTTTAGGCTTTTTCTTTTTGTGAAACAGGAACAGGGGATGAGGTAAAAATAAACAAGTCTCAGGTATGCTATAGCTAGGCTATTTCAAATAGGATGTCAATTTTCCGCTTTCTTTTTTTTTTTTTGGTACATTAGTAGTCAAAACTACTTTGTCTCTACTCTGCCATTGTATTTCTGCTCTTTTTCAGATGTGTAACAAGTTGCGACGGTACAGATAATGCCTACTAGACATCCTTCAGCTCTTACCCTGATCCTACAGGAAATCCAAGTGAAACCAAATCAAACAAAGTCAAAGGTACCCCATAAAAACCTTAAACTGACTCTTTTTACAAAAAGATTGTTGGTGAAGAAAACCATACCCTAGTGACTGACTTACATCTATCACACTCTTGGTCTTCTTATCTTGTAATGATCTTACATCTGTGCTTGTATACAAATGTGAGAGAGAATACGACATGTTTGTGGTGAAGCTTAAAGTGTAATGAGGTGCACAATAGGAGGATGACCTCAAGATGAGAATTAAAATGTTAAATATATATATATATATATATATATATATATATATATATATATATATTTAAATTAGGATAGGTGACATGATAATATTAATGTACAAGAACATGTCACATTATAGCTGGTCATGTAGAGTGTAGTTGGCCATAACCAGAAGTTAATTCCTTTGTTAATTAAATGAAATCGATTTGTATAAATGAACCCCAAATACAAGTTATGTAATGGTGAGTTAAATCATGGCTGCAGCCTTAGAATGTCCTTTTTTGTTAAACTGAGGGATTATGAGCACTTTTGAATCTTTCTATTAAGGTTTTTTTTTTTTATTTCTCTGTCTCGATGCCTAATAGACCAAAGTTTGAGAAAAGTCTGACATAAACAAACCATGCTGTTTCATGAAGGTCTGATCCCTCGGTACACATGGCCTATAACTACAATAGCCTGAATGCTTTTTCTGAAGAGTTGTGTTAATCTGCTGTGGAAAACACCCCAAGAGGGACATCAGTCGAAACATAACTCTATCTGGTAGACTCGTAAAGGAGATGCCAATCTGTGAAAACATGAAGGAGACCAGGGGACTCAATCTTAGTGATGCTGTTCACAGATCACTATTTTATGCTTCTTTATCTACTGCCCACTGTGGCTGGTAGGCAGAGCAATCATTGGTGCCTCGTGTGTGCACCACAACCAACTTTGTGAATTTAAACTGGTGATGACCGTATGGCAGTGATCATCAACTGGCAGGTGCGAGTCACATCTGGCCCCTCAAAGCTTCCCATCAGGCCCCCAGAATATGATTGATCTCGGTTGATTAAACAATAAAGATGCAACTCAAAATCCAAAGGCTGATATACTCGCATTAGGTGAGACCTACTTCTTCACTCTTATGTGTAAGCATATTTTAAAGTCCGACCCCCACAGTGTCTGTCATGAAAGAAGCTGGCCCTTGTACAAATGTAGTTGATGACCTCGCTGTGTGTCAAAAATCTGTGTCATGGCAGAGCGTAATACTAGTACCAGTATTGATTCTGGTTTACTGCCCACCCCTACTTGTATGTAGAGTATATTCTTAAGCTGTGGACTGAAAATCTTGAAGACTCTCACAAAGCAGTGGCTCAGTGTTTTGATCAGGAGATTGTAGCATGACTAATGTCTGTTGATGAATGGACTTTGGCTGTTGTTGGAATTAAGTTTTGACCTTGACCAAAACGCACTCTCAGTATCACAATATATATCAGAGCTCGGTAGTGGCATGGGAATTAAATTAAGTTGGAAGGAGAAGCTGTTTTTATTTTTATTTCAATGATATGAGTCTGAGTCTATAAGTTAACATTTTATAAAGAATGGGAGGTGGTGGGACATGAGTTTCTTTTAATTCTAAAGTTGTGTTTTTGAATGATGGATGTTAAACTCTTACATAAACACACATTGTCTTATCAAGTATATGTGAAGAAACCAATTAGCTTTGTAAATGCACATTAGATTTAAAGGTGTAAAGGCATATACAAAGAGTGAAAAGCCAGGGTACCTTTTGTGAGGGTTCCTGAGACCAATCTCTGCAGGGACTGGATAAGTTTGAGCACCCCCTGCCTGCAGCGGCTGGTACAGCCAGCCATCCTGAGGTAGAGGCAGGGCTTCACCAAAAAAAAGCTGTTTCCTCCAAAATATTTCCAAAGAAAAAGAAAAGTTTTTGCAAGAGTCTCCACAGTGTCCTCCCTGGAAATACTTTCTAATTGAGTTGGGAAACAAGAGAAACAGCCTCAGTTGTTTCTTCGAGGGGACATCTTCAGATCTTTGGAGGGGATCCTTGATGGAGAATAATTTAGCTTTTTGTTTGGCTTAAAAACAAAAACCATTCCACAGAGTTGTGCCTGACTCAACCAGATACATTTCACTTACTCAGTCAGAAAGTGCACAAAATGAACAAACACAAACAGTCTGTGGTGAGGTTTCGAGGCAGCTGTCAAGACTGCACTTGCCAAAAAAGCCAGAGGGGTAGAAATGTTGAATTGTAAAACAAAAAATTCAAAACTTTTTGAAAAGCAAACTTGATTTCAACTGACCAAAAAATCAGGCAGAAGATAAATTATTGAAGTGAGTAGCTGTGTGCCCTGGAACTTCTGAGCGTCCCCAAAAAAAAACAACAGCCAGAGGATCTCCTCCAGCTCTTCTCACCTCCTCTCTTTATTTGATCCCTCTTCTGTGTCCTGGTTTATATACCCTGTGGTCCTGTGAGGTAGCAGCTGTAGTACTTTCTCCCTTCCCGGATATATTTCTATGTGAGGTTTTTCCTCTGAGCTGCAGTGGGAGCCCCTGCGGCTGTGGTCTGTGGAGGAGCTCTGCTCTGGTACTCTCAGCAGATCTGTACTGCAGAGACAGCACCAGCAGCCGCCACTGTACCCGCCTCCCTTCTCTCTCCACCCCCCTCCCTCGTCTGTGTTCTCCCTCCTCCTGTCTTGTGTTTTTGCTTCCTCACTCTCAGTCTGGCAAGTACTCTTTCTTTTACCTTTTTTTTTTATTTCTTTTTTTTGATTTTACACATTTGCGTTTTTCCTGCTCAAGTTAACAACAAGGTGTAAAAAATTTTTTTTTTTTGAGGTTTAAAGCTGAATCCTGGAACCTGTGGATAATAAACAAATTTAACATGTTTTTATTACAACATCTTTCCCCTGTTGTGATAAATGCTTTTCATGAAATGGCCAATCATTCACAGCATTTTAGTTTGAAATGACACCTTCTGATCATGTACTTTCTCTCATTGGACACACCATCAGCGGTGTCGTTATGCTTATTTGCAGCAGGTCACATCGCAGCTCATCTATCACATCAGTTCTATTACTTTGTTTAATCAAGTTCGTCTGCGTTATGAGTAAGATGTATTATTAGGCTTTACTTCCCGTGAGATGTTTCCTCTAAAAAGTCACAGGAGAGGACAAAGATGCCCTACAAACCTCCTTCCTTGACCTAAAAGACTTGGCCGCATAAAAAATTAATTAGACAGCGCCTTTGTTGCTATTTAAAAAAAATGTTAACGACAGGTTTACTATATGACATTAAACTTTCACAATGTTTGTGCACAGTCAACTGGATGTGTCAGCAGCTATAGCCCACCACTGATTAAGAACTTCTAATGAACTTTAGAACATCAAACATGTGGAAATGTTGACTTTAAAATGAAATATGCACACAAAAATTGTTCCTGCAAAAGTAGCCACGTCCTTGCATGGAAAAGAGAATTAAATTGATTACAATATAATCTTGTCTATTTTATTGAATGTGTATTAATGTGTCAGGCTAACGGTTGTGCATCTAGCTGTGAATGTTAATGTAAAAGGAAAAGGACAAAGAAAGACTTACAAATGACAAAAAGTGGATACAAAACCTAACCTTGTTATTCTAACTCCTTGTCTTTGTCACTATGGTGACCAGGCATCCTCCAGATCTAAGAATCTATCATTGCTGAAAAAGAAACCAAAGGGTTCTGTGCCAAATCCTTCTCCGTGCTTTGCGAACAATCCCCCCATAAATACATACACACAGAGTACTCCATCACCAAACGACTCTGAGACAGGTTACGTAAGCCTGCAGTTGACTTGTGGAGACGGAGCCTTTTTTTGCTTCTCACTCCACTGATCTGGGGGAAATTGCTCGAGGACGGCATGATGCGGTGCTTCCTCTTGTCTATTTTGCTCCCCTCTTCCTCTTGTCTTCTCTATATTTAATGATTATAGATTTTATTTATCTCCTCACAGGCACAGATGCGGAGTAGGCAGTCTCTAGGCTAACAAGCATCTCCAGCCTAAAAGTCACATGTAAAACGAACACAAACAAACAAACACACACGCAAACAAAAAAACAAAACAGCCAAAGGAAAGCCGTAGCTTTCGTGACTTGAGGTGGTTGTTCACACAATCCTATTTGGATCCCAGGAGAGGAGCACTTTACCCGCAGAGTGGCAGAGTAAAAATAGAAGCACTGTGTAAGCCATAGTGTTCCAGAGAGTATTAGTATGTGCAGGATAAGTAATTACAATAATACAAAGTTATTTTGAAGGGGCATAAAGGGAGTTACCCGTTTACTATCACACTGCAAACAACAAACTATAGTTGACTTGAATGTTTGGCCACCATTCTTTCCATTGTATTCCTTATATGACACTTTGACTTGAGTATTGTTCTGACCAAGTATCCCTCTGAAGAAAACTGTCAACATTTTGAACTTCATCAGATTGATGCTTTGACAGGCACACTTGATGCTACCTGACGTTACATTTAAGGCAGTACCAGAGGCTGATACACATACTTGTACCGGTATCGGAACATCTCTAGTGGCTTTTTTCTCGTTTTTAAATATAGATCGAATTAAATTAAATTCCATGTTGCTCTTTGTAGCGTTGAAGCTGTGCTTGATAAAGTACTTTCATCATTTCCTTAATTTAAAGCACCAATATCTCCATCAGAAAAGTGATATTCACTGTATTCAGTGACAAAGTTTCAGTACTCACTGTGCATCTGTTTCATATGTCATCATCAACGTCATGATAATATTGTCAGTTATGGAGCTAGTTGTGGGTGCTGCCATCTTGTGGTGGCGGTCATTACTGCAGTGGCATCTCAGAGTCTGCTGCTGCTTCCTGTTTACTGCGACAGCCGCGTCCATAGTTAGATTAAAAACGTGACACAGCTGCTGATGAAAGAACCTTAATGAGGAGATCTTAATATTATTTTAGTTTTTTAACAACGACCTGTTTTTATAACAGAGAAATAAAAAATAAAAAATCAACCAGCCGCCACATAATAGCCTATGTGATGACATGCTGTTTAATGTAACGTTACTTTACAAGCTTGATAGCTTCATGAATCAACTGCTGCATTTAATCCTCATGGACTAGTTAGATTGTTAAATACATTTCTGTAGATATTTATTGAGCATGTTTTTTTTTTGGTAAAGCAACTGGTCTAACATGATTACATGATTACATTATACTTGGTGAAGGACGATTAACACCACCTACAGATAACTCAGAGGGCAGAAACTGTGTGTGTGTGTGTGTGTGTGTGTGTGTGTGTGTGTGTGTGTGTGTGTGTGTGTGTGTGTGTGTGTATGTGTGTGTGTGTGTGTGTTCACAGTGTGTGTTTTTTCTTGTGCAAGTTTAAGTTTTGCCTGACTGTTAATAAACTGCAAAGCTCCACAGGTTCATCTTGAAGTCCTTTACGTCGTTGTAAAAGATAAAGTAATGTACGAAATGATTTTAAAAGTAGACACATTTTCACTTCGTAGGACAGCTCGCATTCAAACCCTCTGTAGAAGGGAGATGCCGCCGCAGTAATGGCGGCTTTTCCACTTCCTGTTTTACCCCGGTCTATAAATTAGGCCGTTTATTCTGGTGGTTCTTAACCTAAGGGCTGAACTCCCTTTATAAGGTCACAGCATTAAAACAGAGGGGGTTTGTGAGGAATAAAATAAAAAATAGCTCTTCCACATCATTTTGTATCAACATTTCTCTAACCTTTGGTCTCTTATGAAGTTTTTGACATTTCTACGTCTTTGGGCCTGGACCAGTTATGTAAACCAAATCCCGTAAGAGGTTCAGAAGGAACATTTGCACCTTGTGGGCACCTTTTGACCTATTTTTCATAGGACGTCAGAAAACCACTAGAGGGAGGGAACAACTGGTTCAAACTTAGGAATGACTTGTGTTTTGTAAGACGGAAAAATGTTTTGAATTCAGAGAAATTATCAAAAACTGGATCATTTCAAATGATATGTCTACATATATCAATGTTTATATCTTAAATGCAAAGGAATAAAAGTATAGAACCGTAACAATCTATATACTTAAGTAAAGTACCTCTGAATGGTATTTGTATTCAAGTACAGCAGTTGAGTAAATGTGTTTAGTTTCCACACAGTTGCAACTTGCTGGTGTTCTCATTCACGCGTGCACCCACCCACTCGATGCTGCAGGCATGTCTGCCCCCCGGAGAGTGTGAGCATGCGAGGCAGTGTCAGCACTCATAACCTGGATAATTCAATGGTTTAATATCGGCATCTCCTCAGGGCTATTCTCTCTTTGGTGCTGACATGTTGTTTATTATAAGCTTGGCCTAAAGCCTTACATATTATTTCATGTAGCATATTTCATCACACATAAAAAAAAAATTAAAAAAAAAGAATCATCAGGCTAATGTGCCGTTCACAATCACCCATTGCCCTGAAAACACTTTTTCAAATATGCACTTGCATCGATTCTGGCAGCATTTTTCTGCTGCTACCATGATTGAATGATGTTATTTTTCCTCATGAAATTAAAAAGCTCTTACAAATACTGTTGGAAACAATACCCTGAAATATTTGCCATGGAAATAACTAGAACAGCCAAGAGCAGGTGAAGAGGGCAGCAAAATAATTCTCACTCACAAGAAACATACCCGTGTCCATGGTGATAAGAAGATATTAATAAAGAGGCTCACAAAAAACAGAATCTGCTTGAGAAACGATATTGTTTTTCACAGTGAAGCCATGAGTAGATTAAGAAAAAGGAAATGAATGTAAAAAGGCTAATTAAACATAACTTACACAATTTTAATGATAGTGACTTGCTCTGCTCTTAACGTCAGGCCTAGTGTTTGTGCATACATTCATTCATTTGCATAATCATGGTGATAAAATCCTCCATTTTTTTTAATCTCCTCAGGGTTTGCTGTTTAGTTCTGTCAGTTAGCTGTTGCCGCTGCTGGGTGCAGGCAGCCTCTGAACCCTGCAGCAGCACTGCCATGCCTCCTACACTCAGATGTTAAGTCTACCGAGCCCACGCACTGAGCATGCTCAGACATACCTGCTGCTGGATCTCAAGACAGGAGTTTAGCAGTCATCCGAACAGGGAAGGATGAAATGTGACTAGAACAGTGGGAGGCCATAGAGCTGAGATATGTGGCAGTGTGTGGAAAACGCAAACGCTACTTTGACAGCAATTAACATCCACACAAAAATCACATACAGAGCCACATAAACGTAAGAAAATATTTGCTGTAACACGCAAGCTTTTCTCAACGTTTCAGACCAAAAAAACATTCCGAAGGCAGTATTTATGTGTATTACATGCTGGAGAAAAGCAGAGCAGTTTTAGAATTTTCAGTGCACAATGTTATCACAGTAACATAGTGACATTAGCCATTAGCCAACAGAAGGCTAATGGTTGGTTGGAAGAGCATCTAAGTTATTGTTGTTGACATTTCAACCTATTTGAATCAGAAGAGAAGTGAAATGTCTCTGCGACATTGAAGTCTCTTAAGTTTAGAACAGAGAGTATGTGTGAACACAAACAGCCAAATGTTTCACTTAGACTTCACTCCTGCCAGCCCCCAA